AAGTGAGAAGTCTTCTGATAGCAAAAGTGAGAAGTCTTCTGATAGCAAAAGTGAGAAGTCTTCTGATGACGAAAGTGAGGAGTCAGAAGAAAAAGACAAGCAGGGGTAAGCTGCCTACAAAGGAATACATGTATAAATAAAAATTACGGCCTTTATTTAACTTGCTGAGTTTCGTCTGTTTCTTCTTTTTCTTTTAACTTTATTTTAAGAAAGAAATAATAGGAATTTGTAAGAAATATCAGGACTCCAATGCCGCGCTAAATATTTAAAATTCAGATCGCAACCATCGCGAGAAGATATTGGATAAAAAGAATTCTGTTCCAACTGTTATTTAAATTTCGAGAAATATTTTTAAACGTTCCAATCAAATCTGATTTTTCAATTAAATTTGAATACAATTAAAACAAGATATTTTCATCCAGCATCTTCTTAGGTTAGAAACTAAAAGTATAGTCTATTATCATTTCACCAATGATTTCATGTTATGCATTTGCAATTCAACGATTGGAGTGCTCGTATTTAATTTCCTAATAGTTCCGTAAAAATTTTTCTTATATTATAAATAATAATAAGCGTCAGTATCACAATTATATTAATATTATATTAATATAAGTCATCAATATACGTTATATCAATATACGTTATATTAATACTATATTAGTATACGTTATATTAATACTATATTAGTATACGTTATATTAATAGTATATTAATGTACGTTATATTAATACTATATTAATGTACGTTATATTAATAGTATATTAATGTACGTTATATTAATAGTATATCAATGTACGTGATATTAATACTATATTGATATACGTTATATTAATAATTATTAATACTATACGTTATATTAAACGTTATATTAATACTATATACGTTATGTTATTGTTGTTGTTGTTGTTGTTGTTGTTGTTGTTGTTGTTGTTGTTGTTGTTGTTAGACAATATACGTTATATTAATATTATATTAATATACGTTATATTAATATCATATTAATATACGTTATATTAATATTATATTAATTATACGTTTTCGTATAGTTTCTATTTCTTTTTATTATTATTACACAAAAATTATAATTTCTTCAAAGGTGGATTAATTAGTTGTTTTATGTTAGCACTATACCTTGTTAAATTTATACTGATAACATATTTGCCATCTATCATATTTTCATTAACTGCTGAATGATATATACCTCAGTTTATACGTGTCACTAAAAGAGGAGGCTATGTTTTGCTTCATTTCATTGCTTTTAAAGCCACGAAATTACACTATGCCCGTAAAAAAGTTTCGTTGCCTCGAGTATGGCAAAAAATGGCATAAACAACCCGTTAAACTAACAACGTAAATTTAATACGATCCCCTGGAAATTAACGGCCGTCATGAAATGAAACGAAAAACGCGACACAAACTATAAATTCCTTTTATTCCAACGACCTAATATCATTCGCTTTGCAGATACACGGTAGTAGTATAAAAACGATGAAATTAAAAAGTAAGCTTCACTTTTCAGCGTTAGTATTATTACTTCCCTAGTTTTTAGCTTTCTAGCTCCTTGAAATTAGCTCGCCTTAGCCTCACTCTTTTCTAGAATTATCCTGCACCGTTTTTTTCTTTTCTTATTTTTTCTTATTTCTCGAGATCACTTCACACGGTGTATTAATCTCGACTCGCATTTTTCTTCTTCTCTCACTTTCACAGTCAGTCATCGAAAAGCAACGAAAATGAAGCGGTTAGCGTGAGACTGGGTAACGGACAGGTGCTACCGCAGGGATTCAGGCTAATACCTGGTAAAGAATTTCATGAAGATGAATGAATTTCTGACGTAACGCACGTTTCAAGAGTTTCTTAAACTCAGTCACGGGAATAACTTTTCTATTCCGATTCCTTTATATTATTATATCGCATTGATACAGAATTTCTCGTACAGAGGGGAAATAATGAATTTATCGAATTTATCGAATTTATGGTTTCCTTCTGAGGAAACGCCGGGTCAATTTGACTGTGTATGAATTTTTCATGGATTTTAGGTCAATGTGGTGAGATAAAAATAGGCTTCTACCTAAACGGGACAATGCTCGAAATCGAGATCATACGCGCTAGAGACATTTGTCCAGGCGAGGTAAATGATCCAGGTAATTTTCTGACTGATTTCTTTTTAGACAAATGAAATATTTTATAGACCGACGATGTCTGCGACTTTTCATCTAATTCGGAGAGTTCGTTCCATCAACGCGTCTACATTTAAATGAAAATGAGGATTTTTTTAAAATTCTTGTACACACAAAGTGATTGAAAGATAAAGGTCTAAAGTTTAGATAGAAGTAATCGAAAGCAAAATCAATTTTCTTGAAATTTGAAATAAACTTAGAATTATTTTACTTAAAGAAACGTAACAAACGTAAAGTTATCACTAACAATACTAACAAAATAGTCATAGAAGTCATTCGTTTATTTTCTTTCCCTTGAAATAAAACATTCGCACGTGTATATAAAAATTATCAACTCATTTTCATTATAAATTTTTTTATTACGAGAGATGCTAGTAATTTTCACTGTAGTGCACATGCCCTGCATTTTAGTGTACATTTCAATTAAATACTACAAGCGTTTGAAACTACATGAAAAGTGAAGAAAATTCCATTTTATTAGCTTGGCATTTTATTGCTATCCGAAGAGAAATGGAATCTTTAAGCGCCATGTGTTAAAGTAAAAAGTACGAGAGATATCTTCTATATTCCACATTTACCAACAGAAGATATAATACTGTTTGGACGATAGAACAATGTGTTTGAGAAAGCAGCTTTATCGATAATTAATTAACGTGTCAAATAAACATCGTTTACGTTTAATGCACTTTGCTAAAAAACACACGCTTAGAAATTTCGATTCTAAAATGTTTGCTTATACGTATTAACAGCGTTGTTGGAGTGGCCGATTTCAATTCCATTCACAGTGATTTACGAATTTAACAAATTTATTGGTTATTAATTTTAAAGCTCTATGCTAATCGAATGTATCACAATATCAATCGTTTCATCTGCATCGATGCAGAAAGCTTCAATTTAACATACTAGAAATTGGCCACGAGACGAATGTTTCTTTCTAGGAACTCAACGAAAGAGAGAAAGTTTCAATTGGAATAAAATTTTATCACTGGCAATGCATGCACAACTAGCTAGCTATAAATCGCTTGAGAAATAATAAAATTCAAATCAAATTCACGAGAGAGAGAAACAAAAGAAATACCATGTTGCACGTGCATGAAACAATGATTAATAACGCAGGCAATTCTCTGTTACAGACACCTACGTGAAAATATATTTGCGAGACAGTCATAAATGGTTACAAAAGCGTAAAACAAGCGTAATACGGCACTCGAAGAATCCTCAATTTCGCCAGACTATCAGATACCGCAGCTGCGATGTCTTCGAGAGGAATCTGCTGATTATGCTATGGGAGAAGAAGGGATTCGATAGTAATGAAGGCTTAGGCGTGGCCGAAGTGAACATCGATAATCTTTCGTTGACTCAGCTGACCATCGATTGGTATACCTTGTTCCCGATTCGCACGGTCGGCAACCCCCCCGCGAAATGATGGATGAAAAATGTACGAAAATGGATTGTCGAGGTCGGTGAATTAAACAAACCACAGCCTTCTCGAGAAAAAAAACAGCCAACCAAATTCTCTTAATGGATATGTCTTGAACGCTTGGCTCCCTTCTCTCTAACCAGCTTTGTTCCCCCTCTGTCTTTCTCTATGAGCATATGATCATAATTCGTTCGGATATATTTAATTACAACTGGCTTTTGAATTTCACTTAAACTTGTATTTCTATAGCAAGTTAGATATAGTCCCGGTATACCTATCAATGAAGAATTTGAAATCCATCTCATCTGGAATCGAGTTATTTTATAAAAATTAATGTAAACTCCCGCGTATCTGTGGAAACATTTAAGAATGCAGAATCGCAAGAAATGCAAAAATATATCGAGATACTTGCAATATTTTAATAAATTTCTGCTTAGACTCCGTTCCTTTTCCGTATTCGAGAAAAATATGAAATTGCACAGAGATCTGCAATGTAATGAGCACTCAAGGCTATCTCTACAGGTAATCGCGTAACGCCATTACTGCTGTATGCCTCCATTATTGCTGTATTTTAACTATTAACAAACAAACAAACAAACAAAAGAGAAGAAACTTCGACCATCGAGATTGCATTGCATCGTAAATTGACCGATGCGTATAAAATGCTACATTTCCATTTACGTTGCTGTAACCTCGCGATATTCAGTTGAAAGACAATCACATCCAACGATCGATGATTTATCATCGTGACCAATAGAAAACGCAGTTATTCCTTTTTCTTTTTTTTTCAACGAATTATTATAAAAAGGGAGGAAGGGAGTTGGAGAACGAAGGTGTCACGTCGAACAAAAAGGACACGATCGCGAGGGCCATTGCATTCTCTGCAATTTTCCTCTGTGTACCTGTTAGTATATGTACTAGTGTATCTGTTAGTATATGTCAAACATCTTGTGGAGATATTTCGTATCCGGATTAACCGAACGATAATATCGACCTTCTTAGAAAATCTTCGTTGAAAATTGACAGTACTTGCAGTGACCCTCGTGCCCAGTTTACTCTGTCGAACGTACGTTTCGTTTTTTCGCTCTTAGAGAATCGTGAAAATGTGTGCCATCGAGGGGAATATTTGAAAACCAAGATTTTTCGTCGGATCTTTTCTCAAATGAATCACGACGACCGGTTGAGAAACCGAATGTGAGGGAAAAGCGAAAGAATCGAAAGTCGCGAGACAGAGTACGGACGAAAATTAAAGTCCGACGAGATATTGCGCTTACCCCGCCCAAGATTAGAATTAGCAGAAAAAACAAAATACAAATCATTCAATACGTATTTATCGTCACGCGCGTGACAAAAGTGTCAGAACGTCGCGTGCGCAATACGATAATTTTATGGAGTTAAATGTTATAATAACACGAAGTAATGAAATACCTAAATGTTTATTGGTGGTACATATAAATCAATGTTGTATTTCGTTGTCAAATCTTAACTACGAACGGATATAGCCTTTATCGTAATGAATTTTCTAAAGAAAAAGAAAACAAAAAGCCTCGTCGAATTACAATGGCCGAACGTTCGATTTATTCGTTCGCTCGCGTTCCTCTATTTTTCTTCTTTTCTCGAGTCAACGACATGTTCTCTGCGTTTTTTTTTTTTCAAGCGCCGAGTAGTGACTCGGCGATTGACTTTCGCGGGAAATTACTATGATTCGGAACTGAAACTTCGCAGAGTAATAAGTGACAAAGGTACGGACCATTCGAACAATTTCGCATACGATAAAGGTTAAGATCCGTCCGAGAAAGACCCAAGTATTACAAGTGTTACTATTATCTCGAACGATGATCCTCTCCCAGCAACAAACGTAGAATTATTCAACGTTTCGAAAGGGTTGGAAAAGAAAGGAAGTAATTATTATCCGTGTTAGCGTAAAGCTCTGTCTTAAGGACACTCTAAATGTAACCCTGTCTTGTATCTCATTCCCATCGATCACTTCTGAATCGCTTCTGAAACGCTTGAAACGCCTGAAAGAGATATCTTTATTTGCTGTTACCGGGTTCATTCAATTACGATTCAATTCGAGAACTCGGTTTCTAAAAAACGCTGTTCCAGCGACTTGTCGTTACATATGTTTTTGGTATAAAACACTCAGCTTTCTTCTTTCCCATTGAATTCTTTCGAAAGCGGAGGAGAGGCAACGATTCTTGATGGCCTATGTTATCGTAGAACGTAGAGAACAAGAGAAAGGCGAGTCATTTGCCTGGCCAAGGAAATCATTTTAACACTAAAACTACCGACGTGAAAAGTGTGAAGAGCTTGCGTGCCAAAGAAGTTAAAGTAAAAATAAATAATACAAGCTTTCATTTACGCATTTCGCCGAACGAAAAACCATGTTTTCATTTAAAAAAAAAAAAAAAAAAAAAAAAACGGGACGTGGTTCGTTAAGATTTCTAGAATTAAAACTTACGAATCGGTGGAATCTCAACTCTGGTAGTTCTAGCGTTAAAGTGAACGAACGTTTCTCGCAAT